GCTTTATTGAAAACCAGAAGACTGGCTTTCTGCCTTATTATATTCCACTTCCGGCACTGAAGATACGGGGAGGTGTACTTGGAAGATTTTGGTTCATTTTATTTATTTTTTGTAAATTTTTAAAAATAGAAAATACACGGACAAAGTTAAAAATTCAAACAAGACAATAAGCGGATTCAGTGAAAAAGTTGTCTCCTCCCCCAGTTTCTCCTCTCCAGAGTAACCACTGCTGGGGTCATCTATGCAAGGCAATTCTTTTTTACACATATGAATAACTGGCTCCTACTGTGCCACTCAGGTTGAAGGGCCCAGGTGCATGAATTCATTAGTTATAAAAATGAGGATTAGTCTGTTATTTTGGTTTGAGCTGGAAAGCTGCCACCTCTCACGTCAAACAAAACACCCTCTCCTTTTCTGACATATGTCTTCTGCTATAGGTACCATTTTTCTATAAATATTTTTGAACAGTCTCTGCATTGCATGGCCACATACTATACAGAAACTTTGAAAAGCATGAACACGCATGCTTTTAGAGATGGTTATCATGCACAAAATGGCTATAAGATGAACTCGGAAGTATTTCCTGCAAAGTTGGTTTAAAACCTCATTTATTGCGCTCGTACGACATATTTCCTGTGTAGCATTTCACACTCTTGGTCCCACAACCAGTACAGTGACCAGCTCAGCCCAGATGCAGCCTTGGCCTGAACGCTTTATCAGTTGCTCCCTTCCCTGGAGCTTCCCTGATGCCAAGGCGTGGGACGCCCGCATGGCCCACTCAGCACACTCAGGCATCCATAAATCAGAAGTGCGGGGAAGCTAATGCCTGTGGAGTGACCATTGACAACCAAGGAGATGAGACTGGATGCTAAATGCTTCCCCCTTCACCTCTTGGCAGGTGGTTCCGGGACGCTGCTCACACGCTCCCTCAGGCAGGGTAAGCGGCAGCGCCAGTCAGCGGAGGCCAGCTCCACAAAGTGCTCTCACAGTAGCTTTCCCTGTGTCTCTTTCTCCTTCCCTCCTGGGTCACTCCCAGTGCCCCTCACTCCTGCCTCTTGGGGTTGAGTCCTAAATTAACTATCTGCCATCAAGCCCTTTACTTCAGGCTCTGCTTTGGGGGAACTCAAGCTGAGAAAATGTTGCTCAAAGTCCAGAGTACAAGGTATGTAGAGAAGTCGTCTCCATAAACCTTAGTATTAAGAGAAGTTGTCTCCATTGAAAAGTGGTTTCATTTTGTCTGTTTTGTATGGTTAATACATTTGTTTTCCTTCCCTTTTCTTGGCTTTGATGTTCTGCTTTATTTTAACATTATTATAGTAAGCGTGGCAAATCGAACTTTCAGGATGCAAGTAGGATATAAATAATAAACTCACAATTTGTTACCTCCTTGAATGAGAAGGACTGAGATCAGAGGAAGAGGAAGTCCTGACTCAGATAAGGAAGAAGCCAGTTAAGGTGTCACATTGCAGCAGGCCTTAGAAGACAGATTTATAGAGTCAATTGTCAAGATAATAGTCAAGATTAGCAATAAATTCAAAGGGAAAAGACCTCTAACTTAACTGTCTTTCTGCATTTCTTAGACTCTCAGCACCTGCCAGAACCTACACACAGTAAATGTTTGTGTTCAATGAACAGTTTGTCTTAGTGATTTCTCTGTGGTTGATGTACCGTTCCCCTGGACTGACTACAGAACTATAAGATCACATTCAGGTGCTTGTTGACAGTATATACTGTAGAAACTCTTCATCAAACCAGCCACATCTGAGATGGCTACAGAGCCTTGAGACGAGGACATTAACTACAGAAAGAAACACAAAGAGAATGCCTTTGGGCACTAGAAGGCGGCTGAAACACAGTGCCTTTCAGGACGCAATATACCAGATGAAACTCCGGAGTGCC